TCTTATGTCGGTAACGATGCTAGTGTTCTCATGAGTTGCTTATGGTGGATATATATCCTAAAGCCTCAAATGCTATAAAATATGATAGTATGAATATTAGTCTAGAAGGGTCATCTTTTAAAAAAATCGTTGCAGGGCGAAATTAGCAAGAAATTTGCGAAGCAATTTAGACGATGCTAGACGTATTTGACATGTTATGGCCTTACGGCGACTTGAGCCGCATAATAACACCATCTTTAGCGATCTTGTTTGCGTTGTGTGTTTCGGAAATTAAATATGTTTATATCGTTAGTTCTTCAGGAAAGCGCAACAAATGATATTATGTCATTAACATATCAATATCTTACTCCTCTAGAGCGTAAATTTACGCATACCAAAGTTGTTGTGTTCACGGAAGGATAGAATTAACACAACCGGGCGGTTCGTCAAATTAGACGGTTCAACTTTGCGCGAGTTATTTATCGCGGTTTCGCGATGTGGAAATAAGTTAACCGCTTGTAATTACTTTTGAATACATTCTCTAGAATGGTCATCAATCAAAATTTTAAGTTTTTCGTTATAAAGGTAAAAAAATAAGGTTTTAAACGAGCTTTGCGATCTAACCCACCGCTGACCAGCCCCTTTGTCAGAAAAAACAGTGATCCTTCACAAGCTACCATGGACGAACGGAACGGAATAATGTTTTCATTTTCCCTCACGTACTCAGGAATATGACAAGTAAAAATGGTCTTTCAAAAAAAATGGATTTCCCTTGGTGGTTAAGCGGTCAAAGCAGTTTATTTACAAACTAGTCGTTCCAGCTCCAGGTTGAAATCGAACCTGGAGCTGGCTCCAGGTTCGCGAACCTGGAGCTGCGAACCTGGAGCCGTCTGTCTCGTCATGGAATGGGAAGCATTAGCCAAGTGTAAAGTTCAACAGTGAGCGCGGGCGTCGGTCACCAACCATGGGTGGTCATCCTCACTGATCTCAAAAATATGGCGGACTGTCATGAATAACGGACACTGATTGGTCCAATTTAAAGTTTGCATTATAACGACTGCATGACGACAGCGAATGATGATTGATAAATGATTGATGATTGATTTGATGATTGATTGATGATTGATTGATGATTGATAAATTTCTTGCAAATATATTTCATTTTTGCTCGTATTTCTGCAAGATTTTGTAAATTTCAAGAAAGAAAGTGCGAAAGAATCGGCTAAAAGAAGGGAGCCGACGTTAAAGAAGGTAACTTTGTTTTAAATATTGATTTTATAATGGCTTTAAAACCCGACGGCCTTTCGGTATATGAAACAACTAAACAAGACAGCATATAATTTCAGTGTATCTTTACTAGAAATACGTGCATGCAGTGACCCCTCGCCAATATTTTCCAAACATTAAATTAAATTAACATGAAGTATTCAGAAATGGCCGACTAAATGCAGGCTCGCGCTTAAGTGTTGCCATGACAACACGATATTCTTATCAATTTTTAATTTTTTCATATTTTTGTACAAAAAAATGCAAAATAGTTGAAAGATTCGTGCTTTTAACTATACAACAATACATTTCCGAAATATATACTGTAGGTATATTATTTTGTATTTTGTAAGCTTTGATTTAATGTAAAATTTAACTTCAAGCGCTTCGTAAAATGTTTTGAAATCTTCATTCAACTATAGTTCATTCGCCGATAAACTAATAATAAAACATAATAAGTTACAAATAAAACAAATTGTTAGGTAATTTCAGTTCAGTCTTCAAATCAATTTGTTCTCCTTTACATTTTAAGATTTTTCCTCAAATTAAACGGTAATTTATGAAACTTAGAGCTTCGTTGAAAAGGAAAACAGTTCATGTTTTTAGCCAAAAAGTTAAAGCAACAAAATTCGTAAACATTAAAGGGTATGGGCAATGAAAATTTCTTCATCTATCTTATTGCTTCATCTGAAAAAGCATGAAAAAATAAGCCGATTGGCCGTTTACTGCTCTATTCTATCTCATCTGGTTCCGAAGTTATAAGCAAAAATGTGCAAAATATAAATTACTGATTCAGCACAATGTGTGACGTCATAAGATGGGTAAGTATGTTTATTGAATAGTAAACTAAAGCATAGCTGAGTTATTATTGGCTCAA